GACGGACTAACTCACTGACTAACTCACTGACTGACTGACTCGTGGACTAACTCACTGACTGACTGACTCGTGGACTAACTCACTGACTGACTGACGGACTCACTTAAGCTGTCTTCAGACATGACCTCGCTCTTCAGGTGAGAGGTGGAGCAGACAGACAGGAAGTGATCATGTTTACATCACCTGACACCGTCGTCAGCTCTCATCACCACAAACTGTCTTCACGTCTTCGTCTGCGTCTTCTACGTGTGTGTCAGCACTTTGTCTCCAGAGACATTTGTTTGTGTCACGTGTTAGAAGCTCATCACCCCCCCACTGTTGTGTGTTCACACTTCTCCTGGATTTAGACTTTATACAGGAGCTCAGGAGGAGGAGGTCTCACTTGGACATTTGTGTTCACACATGCACCTCCGGGGAAAACACGGATGATCTGCGGAGTCCATGTCTGACGAGTCACTGACGAGTCACTGACTCAGAACTGAGTAAACTCCTGGTAACGTACAGTTTATGTGACAAAAGTACAATAGTCCCTCTTGAACGTAGACGAGTGAAGGCATGAAGCTACGTAATAAAACGAAGCCCTGGGAATGTTAATGAAAATGAAACACTTGAATCTCAGCAGTCTTGGGTCATTACACCCCCCCACCCCCCCGTCTTCGCCCATTCTGTTGTAACCATGGCAACTGAAACAGATTTCGTCCACTTTATGAGACGATGTTTGGTTGCCATGACGATGGCAGGATGCCTGGCCGCAGCGGAGTCTTTATGTCTCCCAGTAGTCGTTCTCCTCTGCTGTTCAAAGTCCCTGTGTCCTGCAGCATCGCACCAATAAACATCCCTCCTTCCCTCCATCCCTCCATCCCTCCATCCCTCCTTCCTGTATGTAGCAGGACTCCGAGGGGCTGGACGAGCACACTATAGAGTGTCGGAGGTCCAGAATCCAGCCTCACGCCCACTCTGCATCTTACAGCTATATTAATATACTCAGATAAACTTTGTGAAGGACCAGTGCTGTGGTCTTGAAACCTATAGAGACAAGATTAACATCGTAGAGGAGGTGGAGGATGAAGTTTGATCTATCGTTCAGGACAGGATTTTAATGACGGGACATGAGGGTAAAAGACAAAAGAGCTGGATTAGAGTAGATCTTCCTCCTCCTCAGAATCATAACTCTGAACACATAAATGAATTCAGAGTTTGATTAGAGACAAAAGAAAAAAGAAAGTTCAGATCTTCCCAGAGAGGTTTTTAAGTTTACTTTACACGGATCTGTCTGTGTCGGGATTCACTGCAAACTGGAACTGCTCTTTTCTGATTTGACCCACTTCAAATAGAGACAGTGTGCCCGTCCAAAAATCAAGGGGCGACAAAGAGAACAGGACAAACCTGAAGCTGACTCTACAGGACTTCAATTATCTGAGTCCAGGAGGTTATGTCTTCAGCAGGATTACTTATTCAGAGGTCTGAGCGCTACGATCACATGTGGTCAGTTCAGGTCTGAACGCACCAAAATCTGTCCTGTGATCCTGAAGGGAAATCTGTCCTGGGCCACAGACGAAGGACTCTGCTCACGTCTCTGACCTGCTTCACTTTCAACATATTCGATATTCAATAGGTTGATTTGCTTGAAGAAACATTGTCAACACTGTCATTCAGCCCATCCTGACTCTGCTCTCTCTCTCTGAGGGATCTGAAGTTAGATCCCTCGGTTCAGGACACTTTTAAATACCAGGTGTGAAGAGACGATCACTGTCCATTTGTGATCGTCTCTCTCAGGACGGATGTTTCCTGGCAGCTTTGAACAGGTCCTGTGTGTGGTTTGGTGCAGCTTGATTGAATGTGACTGCTGGGCCTTGGTGAACAAGGACAAGCAGCTCTTCACTCGCCACCAGAGAAATGAATCCAGACGGATTCATATGAAAGCGGGTCCATCAGGGTGTTCTGAATACCAGAGCGACTGAATGAACTTCTGTCCGACACAGACACAGGGAAGGTGATGTTTCCATCCTGGAGCACAGTGACTGTGGTGATTGACAGGAGGCAGGGTGTCATGTGTCCATCTGGAGGAAGCACATTTTCATGTTCTGGTTGTTTGGTGTGAACGGGACAGCAGCTGTGTGGGAGCAGAGTCTAAAGAGCGGGGCGGCCTTCTGTCAGTCAGCAGGTGCATGAAGCCTGGCGAGCTGCTCTCGTTGGTTCAACGTTTTAATCTGTAATCATCCCACTCTGCTTCAACATGACAAACAGTGTCTTTTCTGTCTTTTCCTGTCCTGCACACGTGTCCTACATGTTCTATTTGAGAGTCAAACACTCCATGTAACACGGCTCATCATCATCATCATCATCATCATCATCATCACATGAACCATAGTTGATCCAGAAAATAAATAGTTCTCATTCATGCGCCACGAACCCTTGTCATTATTTCAGGTGTAATTATACTTTTTAAACGGCTCTCATTACTCTTTTATATCACTATACAGTACTGTGTTGTGTGTCCTCCTGTATCGTGTATGCTAATAACTAGACACGTGTGGGTTTGTGTTGTCAGGCTGAAGGGGGTCCTGGAGCAGATGGACCGCGGCGTCGTGGACCTGCAGGACCTCCGCAGGAACCTGGAGCTCGCTGCTGCCATGTTGGACGCTGTTTACACTGATGAGACGAAGTAGGAAGTGAAAGGAAGTGTAGAAAATAAATCTCTATCCCGTCATCCTGACTGTGACTAACCGACTTTCTTTCTGCCCTGCAGGCGTCTGTTGGACACCGAGGACGAGCTCAGCGACTTGCAGGCAGAGTCAGTGCCCAGCGAAGTACGTGATTGGCTGGCATGTACCTTCAGCAGGAAGATGGGCGTGGCCAAGCGTCGACCTGAGGAGAAGCCGAGATTCAGGAGCATCGTCCACGCAGTGCAAGCCGGGATCTTTGTAGAGAGGTAAACTTTGCTCATGTCACTTCATGACTTAAATCGACAGGAATAATTTAGTCTTAAGTATTTTAAGAAAGGACTTGACATTGTATTATGTAAGATAAGACATTTCCAAATTTTAACCAAATTATCAGACAATAAAATGCAAATTCATGTTTTGTGAATATTAGCAGTTGGCAGCATGTGGCTCTAATTTTCACATCAGGTGTAAAAGAAGACAGAGCAGCAGAATATGTAAATACGAAGTGTCAATCAAAGCTCAAAATAAGAAAAACCATAAATGAACTGATGTTTTTATCTGTCGCTCGTCTCTCCGTGAGGATGAATGATGGGATTGTTTATTCATCGATTCTTTTTCCACCATCACATTTACTTTTATTAGTTAACAGACTTTTCCTCTTCTCCCAAACATTTGGTGATATTTAGATAGTGGTTTGAGTTCCTGTTATTTCGAGTCATAGCACATGAGAAGAACATGCACAGAAGGGTTGTTCAAGCGTCCACATACTTTTGACCACGTAGAAGAATAAAACTGTGGAGTTGATGATTATTTCAAATGTGTAGGAAAACATCCGGTCGACCAGATGTCATTACGAGGTCGACCACGAGGTGTAACGATGTTAGCGTGGGAGCGAGCAGGGGAATGAGGTTGTGTATAGGAAACTGAGGTCCAGTATCATTAGCGTGTAAATGACTCACAGTGATAGAACGGTATCAGTTCATCTGCTGCAGCTTAATGACGCATGAAATCAAAAAATATGTGCCGTGCCGAGCCAGCGCTCGCTCTGTGTGTGTTTAGAAGGCAGTTACCGTGGCAACAAACAATCCATCCTGGTCACCAACTGTGGAGGAGGGCGGCTGGAGTGGGTCTGCGTGTGAACAGTGTTTATATACATACAACTACACGTATGTGAGAGATCTGTGCATGATTTTTTACCTGTGTGTGTGTGTGTGTGACATCAGGATGTACAGACGAACGTCCAACATGGCCGGTCTGACGTATCCGCCCACTGCTCTGAGAGCTCTGAAGGTAAAACTGTTTTGCTGCTGCTGTACCATCAGCAGGAAGTGACATCACTGACACAATTAGAAGTAGAAAAGGTCTAAAGAGAGGATGAGGTGGAGAGAAAAGAATGAAAGGAAGAAGAAGGTAGGGAAGTGGTAAGGAGATAGGGAGGAGAAAAGAAAGAAGGAAGTGAAGAAAGAAATGAAGGAGGTGAAAAAGGAAACAAGGGTAAGGAAAATATGAAAGAAGAGAAGAAGGAAAGAAATAGGTTCAGAAAGAAAGTAGAAAAAGAAGGAAACAAAGGTAGGGAAGGAAAAGAGGAGATGGAGAAGGAACATAGAAAGGTAGTAGTAAGGAAATTGAAGAGTTACGGAAACTAACAAGGAGATTGAGAGGAAGAGGAGGGAGGTAAGGAAAGAAAAGAGTGGGGAAGGACAGAAGGAGGAAGTAGTGAAAAAGTAACAGAAGAATGAAACAGGAGATTGGGAAGGAAATGATGAGGACAGAAGAAAATGAAGAGGTGAAGAAGGGAAGGAGGGATAAACGAAAAATGAGATGTGGGACATGAGGAGGTAGTGAAGGAAACAAGGAGATGAAGAGGGGAGGGGCTTGGTTTGTAAGTTAATACTTGAACTGTAATTATGACCTAATGAATAAGTTTATAATCATTTAATTGGTTCAACAGTTCCAGTGTAAACTAACATCACACTGCCCTCTCCTGGCAGATATACAACATTACACTGAATCAGCTGCTGTTTGTAACTGCTCTGTCTCACGTCAGACTTCAGCCAATGAGACGGTGGCGTTTTGTTGTTTTCCAGGAAGTGGATCAGTGGTCGTTTGATGTGTTTTCCTTCCACGAGGCCACGGGAGACCACGCCCTCAAGTTTCTCGTGTACGACCTGCTGACCCGCTACGACCTCATCAACAGGTTCAGGGTACAAACAACTTCAGATCATTTAAGGCCCCGTCCAATCACAAGCCAGTGTTTAACCTCGTTAATGTGTCCACGACGTGTTTGTGATGTTACACCAGACACAAGGTGAGTGAGATGATCGGTCGAGTGGCTCCACATCAGAGCTGCGGTCTCAACCTGAGGAACCAATCACAGCAGACCTCTGACAGCCCTCGTCTGTCCGTAGACATGTCGCAGAGGAGGCAGTTGTAGCTAACTTGTTTTTCACCAGCTAGGTTAGCTAAGGTCGTCAACTCAGAGAGTTCAATGGTGGGAAACAGACATATTACAGTCGCTGTACTTATACATCTGCCACACCTGTACTGCCTGCAGTACTTGTACCACCTGCCTGCAGTACTTGTACCACCTGCCTGCAGTACTTGTACCACCTGCCTGCAGTACTTGTACTGCCTGCACTTCTGTGTTCAGATCCCTGTGCAGGCTCTAGTGCAGTTTGTGGAAGCTCTGGAGAACGGCTACAGCAAACACAGGAACCCTTACCACAACCTGATCCACGCCGCTGATGTCACTCAGACCGCC